GGGGGCGGGGGCTTGTAAGGCGGGGCCGGGGCCGGGGCTGGGCGTGCGCGCTCTGGCCTCCGGCTCCAGCGCCGGACCCTGCTGGAGCTTAGGGGGCAGGTCTGAGGGCTGGGGGCGGGGCACGCGCTTTGGCTCTCCACCCGGCTGTAGAACAGGGACCCTGGGCTCGGGGGCCGCGATCCCGGATCCCGCCCGGCTGCAGGGAAAGAGGGCCTGGGTCTGGGGCGCGCGCTCCGGGATCTCGCCCCGTTGGAGGGAAGGGGGTCTGGGTCCGGGGCGCGCGATCCGCGGTCCCGCCCCGTTGGAGGGAAGGGGGCCGGGGTCCAGAGTGCGTGATCCGCGGTCCCGCCCCGCTGGCGGGAAGTGGGTCTGGGTCCGGGGCGCGCGCTCCGGGATCTCGCCGCGGCTGGAGGAAAAGGGGGCCTGAGTCCGGGGCGCGCGATCCGGAGTCCCGCCCCGCTGGAGGGAAGGGGGTCTGGGTCCGGAGCGCGCGATCCGGGGTCCCTCCCCGCTGGAGGGAAGGGGGCCTGGGTCCGGAGCGCGCGATCCGCGGTCCCGCCCCGCTGGAGGGAAGGGGGTCTGGGTCCGGGGCGCGCGATCCGGGATCTCGCCGCGGCTGGAGGAAAAGGGGGCCTGAGTCCGGGGCGCGCGATCCGGGGTCCCGCCCCTTTGGAGGAAAGCGGGCCTGGATCCGGAGCGCGCGATCGGGGGTCCCGCCCCGGTTGGAGGGTAGTGGCCTGCACCCCAGGTCCCGCCCCGCTGGAGGGTAGGGGCCTGTGGCGGGAGCCCCGCGCGCACTGAGCACTCGGGCTCGGACTCCGAGCTGGGGTCACGCCGGGAAGGGTCGGCTCTGGCGATCGATCGGCGGAGCAGGGGACTTGGAACGCGCGCTCGGTGACCGGCGCCACCTGTGGGTCGGGGGAGGGCGAGGGTTTCGGACCCTGGAGGCCCAGGCGCAACAGGTGAGCGGCGGAAGCTGCGGGGCGGGGCGGGCGCGCGGTGGCGGCCGCTAGGAGGCCCCGTGCCTTCCGTCTTGCGGCGCGCCGACGCTCGCCTTTGTCCCCGTGAGGCGCGAGAGGCGGCGGCCCCCAGGTGAGGGCGGAAGCGCTGCGGAGGGGGCCCGGCTTGACCCCATCCCGGGAGCCTTGGATTGCCGGGCAGAGCTCCCTCCACGCGCACCTGCGCTAGCCTGGCACGGCCCAGCCCGCTGCCTGGGAGGCGGGGACGCGGGGCCCGTCCCAAAGCACTGTCCCTGCGAGGGCTGCCCTAAAAACGTGGGCCGGTAGGGACGCTCGACCTGTTCGTGTGAGGGCCTCCGCACCCTCCCCCACATTCCCAGCCGTGTCTCCAGCCCGCGTCTTGAATGGCACCTGGTCGGCTGTCCCTGTTGTCACTGGGCTGGAAACCTGTCTTTCTTTCGGACCTTGCTCTTCCTTTTCATAGAACTGTACCAGGAAGTCTCCGTGTCTGGCCCACAAAGGCGGCTTGCAGTTGATGAAAGCGTTCTGGACTGGTCCAGTGTGTCATTCAACCAACTGAACTGAGTCCAAACCCGCGGGCACCTGTCCCGGTCGAGGGTACTGCCCCAAGTAACTGCAGAGCTTCCGGTCTTCAGAATGCCTGTAATTAGAGTGAGGCGATTTTTTTTTTTTTTTTTTTTTTTAACGGAGACTTACCGACTGTGCTTCTCACAGTCATCCCCAAGGGTGTCTTCTCCCCTACCCCCGAATCTGGGGTGGAACCCGAGTGCGCTCTAAATCCCAGGGCATTTTATTTCAAGTTACCCAGGTAGGACTCGAACGCGCAGTTCTCCCTGAGTGCCCCGAGATTACAGGTGTGAGCCACCCTTGGAAGAAAGGTGTACTTTATGAATTCTTTCTTTTCTTTTCTTCTTCTTTTTTTTGGTTTCTGGTTTTGTTTTTTGAGACAGGGTCTCGCTACGTAGTGCAAACTGGCCTTGAACTCACCATGTAGTCTAGGCTGGCCTTGAACTTGGAGTGATCCTCCTGCCTCAGCCTCCAGAGTCCTGGAATTACAGGTGTGCTCCACCAGCACATCTGGATTGGTTGGTTTGTTTTGTTTGTTTTTTAGACAGGGTCTGGCTATGTAGTGTAGGCTGCCCTTGAACTCGCTGTGTTCCAGGCTGGCCTGGAACTGGCAGCAGTCCTGCTGCCTCAGCCTCCTGAGTGCTGGGATTCCAGGTGTGTGCCACCACGCCAGGCCAGACTCAAAAATTGCTTTCATGGACATTCTTGGGGTTATACTCTTGAGCATATCTGCCATGGCACCCAGATGTTCTGTATCGTTTGTTATGTCATCACAGGGTGCTGTCAGTGTCAGGCAGCTTGTGACTGAGAGCCCCAGTTTATCAGCTGAACACCCATTTGGGTTGAGGTCAGTGTGGGCGCAGGTGCTTGCTCACGCCCGCCTGAGAACTCACAACTTCGGGGAAATGGCAACGGGAGAATGTATTTGTCCCTGTCTGTCCTCCGTCCTTTTGGAAAGCCAAGGCATGCTTGGTCTGTGTTCTTGCACCCTCCTCAGCCATTAAGCTCCATGGCACAGGAGGTCCCATGTTCTCTGTGGACTTGCAGGGCATGTGACCAGCAAAGATCCTCCTGCCTCAGCCTCCTGAGCGCCGTGATTACAAGTGTGCGCTGCCACATCTGGCTAGGCATGGGGTTTAGCTCAGTGTATTGTGTGAGCTTAGCAAGCACAAGGTCCTGGGTTCAATCCCCAGCTCAAAACACATCATTTTTAAAGAAAATAACAGCCAGTGAGCTGTTATTCTTCAGAGATTTCTCAGACGCTTCTTACTTGGCCAAGCGTGGGGCAGGCTTGCCAGAGAATGTAAAGGATGCAGGGAATATGTAGCATTAGCTCTGGATGCGAGCGAAAATATGAATGAAACCACACTAGAAGTAAGTGCTAAATGACTTTTAACTACAAAAGCGTCTGTAGGAGAGAAATGAAAGGAGAAAGGAGAAAAAAGAATGAAGCAAGCTGTCAGTGAAATCTTTGTTTGTTCTCTTTTGTTTTGAAACAGGGTCTCACTATGCAATTCAGGCTAGCCTTAAACTCACTATGTAGCCCAGGCTGACCTCAAACTCGGGAGATCCTCCTGCCTCAGCCTCCGGAGCGCTGGGATGACTGCCACACCTGGCCGTAAGTGAAATTCTTTATTTGCCATCTCTTGTTGTGGAAATTTTACATGCACGTGGAAGCAGGGTGCTTGTTTCCCCCGCTACCTATTTTTCTGCCGAAAGTGTTGCAAGGATCATGCCAGGCACAAGACACCGCTGTTCTTGGACACTAGGGAGAGTGGAGGGGTGGGCTTGGTTCCTATGGGGACAGACCTCCAGGGGAGCCTTAGAGCAGCAGCAGGCAGCAAGCTTGTAACGAGGACAGCAGCTCCCTAGCAATGGCAGATGCCCTCCATGTGACATGTGGGTGGCAGCTGGCTTTCCTTGGTTGCTGGCCACATGGCTCAAGACCCCCTCTTTTTTTTTTTTTTTTTTTGTCTTTTGGAGACAGTGTTTGACTATGCAGCTCAGGCTGGCTTGAGCTCACTTTGTAGCCCAGGCTGACCTCGAACTCGGAGCAGTCCTCCTACTTCAGCGTCCCGAGTGCTGGGATTAGAGGCATGCACCACCACGCCTAGCCAAGTCCCTACCTCTGTGGCCAGCCACAGAGCCTTCCTTTCTTGATCTTGGCCCTCTGGCCCCCAGAACTGGAGAGAGGGAACATCTGATGCTTTCAGCACCCCCATTTCCATCAGAGCCCTAGAAAACTAAGTCAGAACAGGTTTAAATTTGCAGAGAAGCCAGCCATGGTGGCGCACACCTGTAATCCCAGCACTCAGGAGGCTGAGGCAGGAAGGTCTTTGCAAGTTCGAGGCCAGCCTGGACTACAAAGTGAGGTCAAGGCCAACCTGAACTGCATAGGGAAACCTTGCCTCAAAAAGACAAAAAAAAAAAAATTGCAGATAAGCTGAACTAGCAGTGCACAGAGCTCTCGGCCTGACGCTAGCATCTCACATTACCGTGCACACTGTCACAATTAACAGATCAACACAGATATGTTATTATTAACAGGAGCACCCACTTTATCTGGATTTCCTCAATTTTCCCCTCATGTCCTGGGATCCACCCCTTTGTAGGGAGGGGTGTGAGATAGGCTCTCACCTCAAACTGTGGCAGTCATCCTGCCTCTGCCTCCCCAGTGCTGGCATTGTAGTCATGGGCCACCATGCCCAGCTTGCCCCATTGCGTCCAGTGTCTTCTTGGACCCTCTGAAGTGGCTGGGGTTCATCGACTTGAGCACACACACACACACACACATACACACTTCACATCCTTAGTGTTGAAACAATCCAGGTATTGCGTGGGATGGATTGAGGCCAGACTCAGGCCACTGCTTCTTGGGTGTCTTGGAGGATTGCTTTTGTGTGAAATTCCTTTACCGGCTGCTGGCCAACATACTTGTTCCAGTCGGATCTGTTTTGCTGAACTTCAAGGAATGTAGAAATATCTGACCAGCTGCAGAAGTCACAGGAAGTAACTGCCGGAGGGCCACTGTTGAAAGGGCGGTAGAAAGTCTCCCTCCCTGTGCAGATTCCTTCCAGGCAAACAAAGGAAGTGCCTAACAGTTCTACTGATGGTGCTCCTTCTTTACCTTTATAGAATTATGCAGATGGAAGGCCCACAGGAAATAGTATGTGATTCACATTTTATTAGAAGTAAATTTTTATTTAGGGAAGGTGGCTCAGAGGAGAGCCCTCCTACCCAGTTTCTCTGAGCGTTAAGTATGGTTCTTTGATAGCTGAGTCATTACTAAGATGCTTTCATCAAAGCTAAGAAATCAGCTCCATTCAGTGGTGCACGCCTGTGATCCCAGCTACTAGGGAAGCTGAGACAGGAGGGTGGAAAGTTTAAGGCCAGACTGGGGGGGTCCCCTTTCAAAATAAAAAATAAGAGAGCTAGGGGTGTAGCTCAGTGATAGAGCACTTGCCTAGCACACACGAGGCCCTGGCTCAATTCCCCAGTACAAAAAAAAAAACCAAAAAATGACTAAGACATCACCATTGCTGTGAACTAACCTCAACTTTATTTGAATTTTACCAACTTGCCCACAAATATATTCTTTCTATCTAAGACGCCCGCCCAGGATCCCACACCGCATTTAATGGTCGTGTCTCTGCTCCAAGACAGTTCCTATCTTGACTTTTCCCCTTGTTCTTTTATTGTACTGTAGGGCTACTTTGGGCTCTGTCTGTCGCCCTAGTTGGGTAATTGCAGCAGAGATACTACATGTTGCACAAAGGATGAAATACATACCATCTGGATCTTGGGGGTGTGGGTTGAGACGGGGTTTCACTATGTAGCCCAGGTTGGCTTCCTACTCATGGTGATACTCCTGCCTCAGCCTCCTGAGTGCTAAGATTACAGTGTGGGCCACCACACCCGGCCACCAGCTGGCTTAAGGGATGTTTTCAGGCCTCTGTGATAGGGTGTTAGAGTCTTGAGATCTACTCATGGTAGGGTGTCAACCAAGGGCAGGTTCAGGGAAAGCACCACTCCGTGTAAGACATTGGGCCTGTTGGGGAGGAACTGACCGGATCCCACACACTGGCTCTGCCACACGCCGGCTCTAACCACAAGCCCACGCCTTGAGGTTCATGTGGGTTTCCTATTCCTTGCTCGTGATCACTTGAGTGACAGTGACAGTCATTTCAAAATTAGCTAGAGTCAGCATGTGCCAACTAGTCCCAACTACTTGGGAGGCTGAGGCAGGAGGATAGCAAGTACTTTGCTTTGCAAGACTGTCTCAAATTAAAATTATAGCAGGGCTGGGGGTGGTTCAACACATCCCATGCCCCAACACTGGAGAAATAGCCCAAGTCCTGCTAGGGGTCTAGAGCATGGCCTTAGCACTGTGGAGCCCTTGGGTTCATTAACCAGCACCAAGAATAAATCAGCCAAAACCTATGGCGAATGAGTGTATTTTGTCCTTTGCATTAGATGTCTGCTTTGACAGGGTTTATCTGAAAGAGGAGTGCACAGGACATAATCCTCCCAGGAATAACAGTCACTGCATTTTACTACTTTAGTATATGTGCTACAAAATGGTCAAAATTAGAGAAAAATTAACAAAGTTTTGAAACATGCCACGTGCACACATGTGCGTACATTGTAATCATCCCATCCACCACACACACACACACACACACACACACACACACACAGCATCCTTGAAAACAAAGACGCAAGTTATAAGACATCACATCTGCCATCAGCAACCACCTAGGTGTCTCCAAAGTGCACTTGGTGATAGGGTGACAGTTTGTAGCCCCTCCTGGTACTGTGAGGAAGTGCTCCGGCTGACCTACCTGGCTTCGATTTAAATACCACCACCTGGGTGACCTTGGACAAGGTGCCCCATACCCCCTGGGGCCTTGTGCGTAAAAAGGACTAAAAGAGACAAAAGCCAGGTGTGGTGGCGCGTGCCTGTAATTCCAGCACTCGGGAGGCTGAGGCAGGAGGATAGTTGCGAGTTGAAGACCAGCCTGAACTGCGTAGCGAGACCCTGTCTCTGAAAGAGAGATAGATAGATAGACAGACAAATAAAATAAAACAGACAAGTGCGCCATGCCATGAGGGAGGGGGCAAGAGTGACAGAGGCTGCCTGGCCCAGGGCCCAAAAGTAGCTGCTCACTGAATGTGGTCAGGTAATGAAATGAGTGTCCTGTCCTCTTTTCAGGACATGCTTACCCCTCCTGGAAGCAGGCATCAGGCTCACTAGCAGCCTGGCTTACGGGTCTCCATCCACGTACCTCTGGAGGGGTGCTCCAAGGACGTCCGTCGGGCATGGACAAGGGAGCCCCTAACTCAAAACATCCACGGCATCACTTCACATTGGAACAAACTTACTTAGCAGGTTAATAATATCTCTTAGTTATCTTGAGCTGATCAGGGACAAAATGTGAACCAGTGTAAGGCAAATGCTAAACAAAAAGAAGCAAAGGGAATGATTTCCGGGTTCCGGGAGGATCAGAGCCCTCTCACATACTTCAAGATTCTCTCAAGGCTAAGACCAAGGCCTTCTCTGGGTGGCCCTTTTTTATTTGATCATCAGAAGAAGGGAGGAGAGTACTCAAGAAGGGCAGAATCACGTAATGACTTCTCCAAGTAAGGTATTAAATTAATCCTTAGTAAGGATAAAGTTAATCCACCTAGGCGTGAGATCCCCGAGGCTATAGTCTTTAGCTAGTTGAGATCCGATCCAGGTATCCTTGGCTTTCCGGCTTCATCCACCATTACAGATTTTAGTAGGGATTAGTGACCCACAAAGATTCACTTACTATGAGTCCATCGCCCACTTCCAGACAAGTGGCCCAGGCTTTGGACAGATTCACAAATAAACATAAAAAGCCAACTGGTTTAAGTCCTGCTCAGGGCTGCTTTATAGTGGTCTCCGTTACTTACTGCCTCGTTTTTTGGGGTTTTTTGTTTTTTTTTTTTTTGGTAGTACAGAGGATGGAACCCAGGGCCTTGCACATGCTGGGCCAGTGCTCCACCACTGGGCTACACCCCCAGCCTGACTTAACTGACTTTTGATTAAACAAATCATTTCCATCCTTCATGATTTTAAAAGCATAAGCCTTTCTTTATGAGTCCACACATTTGCAGTGCCTAATGTTTACATTCTTAGCGGAGAGTCGTCGGTACGTGGAGAGAACACATCTGAATTTCCTCTTCCTCTCCCCTGGTGATCCCCCTTGCGCTCGAGAAAGATCGTCTCCCTACTAACTGTTATCTACCTTTTATTTATTTATAATGTGGATTTCTCCTTCGGCCTTTTTGTGAACTCAGGCTAGCTCTCAGTTCTCTGAAGAGTTAATTTTGTGTGTGCGTTTGAACAAAAGGTGCACGTGTGTAGTTTCAAAACTACGCCAAAGAGACAAGTAAACTCAAAATACGTAAGTGAGTGCCGGGTCTCAAAATCATGACACGCCTTTATGAGTTAAAATTCTTCCTTAAATGCTGAACCCAGGAGTCCAGCGTAGAGAATAAGAAAGAAGGTGAGAATGTTTTCCGTTATGAAGAGTGACAGGGAAATGTCTCCAGGTTTGCAAATGTGAGCACGATTATTTTTTACCAGGAAGGGATGTAGGATTATGTTTTTATGCACATCCAAAAAAAGAAGAAGAATGTCTCACGTACCAAGCCCCTTACTTGTCATTAACATGGAACTGTCCCTAGCAGTTCTTGCCTATTTCCCTGCGGCTCTTTTTCTGGGTCATGAAACATTTCGATTAATTGCACTAGGTACTCAACATCACAATGAAGTTTTGAAATACATCTGGTTGCCTTTTCTTTTCACTTGGTGTTTATTTGCCCACGAATGCCGGTTTGCACTTTTGAGCGCGGTGGAGTAAAACCATCCCTGTTGGTACATTTCCATCTCTGGGCCGTTGTCAATGGCTCTTTCTTTATAGAATGGATGTGGTCCAGCAAATTGAGCTGGGAACTGAAGCTCCAGTCGCTGTGAGGCAAACCCTACACAGACCTTCATTCTTCCAGTCAACCCCCAGCTGCTTGACTTCCATCAAGAAGGCCTTTAAGATGGTGTATGAAGAAAACTAATAATAAATAAAATGGTGTATGGAGGGCAGGGATTCTTAGCAACCAGTTTTTTCCACTGAGAGCCATAAACCGCTTACCCAGGCAGAAAGAACTACCTCTAGGAAGTTCAGCACAAGGCTGACTGCCTCTTTCATCCAGACCTGGGTGAGCGGGTAGAGCTCAGTGGCAGACCACTTGCCCAGCTTGTGCGAGGGCCTGGTCCCATTAAAAAGCTCCAGATTGAGCCACGCACAGTGGTGCGTGCCTGTAATACAGCACTCAGTAGGCTGAGGCAGGATGATCGCTGAGAGTCTAAGGCCAGCCTGAACTACATAGTGAGACCCGGTCTCAAAAAATTAATCAAGTGGGGCTGGGGATTTAGCTCAGCGACACAGCGCCTGCCTGGCAAGCACAACGTCGTGAGTTCAATTCCCGGTACCGGGAAAAAAAAAAAATTAATCAAGCAGTGTTAAAAAAAAAAATTTAAAAGCTCCAGGTTGTGGCAAAAGTTCTTTCAAGCTGAGAAAATTGTCAGGATGTTTCTCAAGAGGAAATTACTTGTCTGTCTTTCCCAGTCCTTGTCTGTCATGTCCCTCTACCTTTTGTTCCTTTTTCCTGCAAGCATCCTGGCATCCCTCGCTCACCAGGACCTCCCGTGTCACTCCTGGAGCCTTCCAAGTCCAGAGGAAGGATGTTGCTTACCCTTTTAGACCACCACTCCCTCGTGCTTGGTACCCGCATCTTGTGCTCCGTGCCTTAGAAGAATGATCATGTTTCTCCAAGTTTTTTTCAACAAAGCTCTCTCCAAGTTCATCTACGACCCTGGGGATGCCTGTGTTCTTCAGGGGAGATACAAGCACTAGGGCGCTGCTCCTGTAAGCCAGCAGATCTCCTGGAAGTTTGTTAGAAATGCAGAATCGCATCCCAGATGCCTCAGACATCCTCAGTCGGATCTGCCTTTTCAGGAGATTCACAAGGATATGTACGCAAACTCCAAGTACATACTGTTCTCAGCTGAGGCCAAATGTCATTTTAAATGACGCCATATTTTTTTTAAGACACATTTTTTTTTCTTTTGAGACAGAAGTCTAGCTGTGGTGCCCAGGCTGGTCCCAGACCCCTGGGATCAAGGGATCCTCCTGCCTCAGTATCCTACTTGGCTAAGACTGGGGGTACACACTCCTGCACAAGCTAGGATATAATTTCAACCCATATTCAATCCCTGTGTCTTTCTACCCCATGCTATATTTCTTTTCTTTCTGGCAGGAGTAGGATTGAACCCAGAGCCTTCACACTGAGCTACATCCCCAGCCCTCTTTTTTTATTTTGAACTAGAGTCTTGCCGAGTTGCCCAAGCTTGGCTCAAGTTTGGGATCCTTCTGCCTCAGCCTCCCAGAGTGCTGGTATTACAGATGTGCCACCATGCCTGGCTATGTTTGTTATATCCATGACTGGTTTGTTTGCTTGATTCTTTGGTGTCAGCCGTGCCTTCATTTGTCATGTGTCGTTTATTGAGGCCTGTAACATTCCCTCATGTATTGGACACAGATTGTCCCTTTAGGTTTCCTGAGCCTGGTTGCAAATAGTAACTCAGGAAATCCTCACTGAGCTGAATGAAGTGGCCAGGTTTTTCTTGGTCTTCGGTGATCCCAAAAGGGGCTGTCGCTAGGGCATTGAACCTTTGATTGGGAAGGTAGTGTCTGAGCCGGGTTCCTTAGCAAATAGAGCCTAAGGATCCTGTAGATTGGGGCAAATTTTTGCCAACCGTATGTCTGATAAGAGGTTAGCATTCAGAATTTGCAAAGAACTCTTACAACTCAATACCATAGCAGAAAAACAACTGATTTTTTTGTTTGTTTGTTTTTTTGAGGCAGTGTCTCACTCTAGTTCAGGCTGGCCTCGAGCTCAGAGTGATCCTTCTGCCTCAGCCTAATAACCTGAATTTAAAATCAGTAGCTGGGCATGGTGGTATAGGCCTATAATCCCAGCAGTCTGGGAGGCTGCAACAGGAGGATCACAAGTTCTACCCCAGCCTGGGAAATTTGGTGACTTAGTGAGACCATGTCTCAGGTTTAAAAAAAAAAAAAAAAAACAAAAGACAAATTAAGAGTAAGAGATGTTGCTCAATGCGAAGGCCATAGGTTCAGTCCCCAGTACAGCAAAAAACCCAAAACACTGAGGTTTCACCTCATATCGATAATAAGCATGGCTATTATCAAAGAGACAGAGGCCAGGCGGAGTGGTTTATGCTTGTAAGCACAGCTACTCAGGAGACTGAGGCAGAAGGATTGCTTGAGTTCAGCTTGAGTCTAGGAGTTCAAGGTCATCCTGGCCTACATCTCAAAAAAATGATGACACAGACAGGAGATAAATGTTGGCGGAGGTGTGGAGAAATGGGAAACCTGCTACACAGTGGGGAACGGAGATTGGTAGAGCCAGGTAAGCAGAGCAGTGTGGAAACTCCTGAAGAAATCAGAATGACTGGGGCTGGGGTTTTAGCTCAGCCACACACCGCCTGCCTGGCAAGCTCAAGGTCGTGTGTTCAATTTCCAGTACCAGAAAAAAACAAAACAAAAAAATCAGAATGACCTAATATGTGACCCGGCAATTGTCTTCAAGGCAAATACTCAGAGGGGGCAAAGTCCCACCTGGCACAGTTGCCTGAATCCCACGTTTACTGCAGCAGGATTTACAGTAGCTGAAACGGACTGCCCACATGATGGTCAGCGGACAAACAAAGAAAATGCAGTTGATGTGCAGGATGGAGTATTGCTCAGCCATGAAAAAAAAACAAAATGATGTCACTTGCAGGAAAGTGGGTCAAACTAGAGATCCTGTTAAGTGAAATAAGCTAGATTCAGAAAAACAAGGGTCACGTGTTTTCCCTGATAGTGGAATCTGGGAGAAAAGACGACATTAAAGTAGAAGGGAGACTGTAAGACAAGAGGAAGGGGATCCAGGAAAAGAAGAGAGTGTGTGTGTGTGTGTTCATGTATTTGTGTCTGTGTGTACATACATATTGTGGAATATTACTCAACCTTAAAAAAGATAGAGACCCAGTAGTACAAGATTCCTAAGAAACCCAAGTAGTTGCTCTGTTCCACTCCTAGGAATGTCCTTAGAGAGGAAGGAAGGTTGAGTAATTAATTTACTGATCGGCCAACAACTCTGCTCATCCTTTTTCAGGATCTGCCCTGCTAGGTGTTAACCCCCTGCATTTCCGGTTCACTGGCCCCGCTCTCTGAGATCATAGTGGGATAAACCGGATAAGCTTCCGCCTCTGTGGGAAACGCACATGGGCCCTCCGCGTGT